AAATTAGTTCTGTGGGGATTAAGTGTCCTTGCATCAATTACATTAACATTTGTCATAAAGTTCATTAATGTATATACTGAGTTGTCTGTTATGTTTTTACTGCCTTTTGGGTCTGTATTTTTGTTTAAAACACAATTCATATCTCCAGAAATGATGATGTTACTATTCTCATCACCTGTAAAGTTCTTAACAATTTTGTTTCACTTTCTATAAAAATCACTTCGTTCACTTGCAGTATTTGGTGCATATACATTACCAAGCACAATGACGATATGTCAATTTTGACACAGTATAATGACAAATCTACCATTTTCATCAATGTGTTTTATTAACCTTATAGGAATCACAGTCCTTAATCAGATTTGAAACTCCTCTTGAGTAAGAAGATCCAAAGCTATGGTATGCTTGACCTTGCCAAAGAAATTCATACTGGTTTATTTTATCACTCGTCAAGTGCGTTTCTTGTATGAAAAGTATATCAACTTTATTGTCGTTTGTCCATTTGAAAATACATTCCTGCTATGCTTCTCTCTTATCCTCTATCGTTGAGAGATAAGAAGTGAATGTTAGGTATCATTTAATAAATAAATAGATAAAAGTATCAATAAATTGTGTTCATTTATTTATTTTATTTTTTTTAATTATTTATTTTTCCTTTTTTTTTAAAATTTATTTATTGATTTATTTTAAATCCCTAATTACAACCGAAAATCCAACCGATTATTGGTTGTAAAATAAACATTATAAAACGTTGCAGCAACGATTTAGTCAGAGAATTTGTTGTAAATATATCATTGAGGTTCTACAATGTTTTGTAAGGTTAATTTGGTATAAAATTGTTAACTGGGTAATTACAAATTCATCAAGATATCATTATTCGGCAAAAGCATCAGACATTTGCGTTACGTTTAAGCGGAATGTTGTGAACAAAGAAAGACGATCAATCTTTATTGTAAAACTTCAGCCTGTGATGACCGAATCTAGCGAAAATATTAGCACATTATACGGTATACCATAATAATAATGTAGGCCAATGGTGAAGGTGACAGACTAGAATGTAAAAAAAAAATGCAGCTTTTCTATAATATTTCTAACTAACGTACTTTTTCTCTCATAATCCAAAGGTCGTAAGTTTTAATAAGATAATCAAGATTAAACCCTTGCCCTGTTGCGTCATGTCTATGTACTGAAAAAATAATGGCATTCGTGTAGGCTACTTTTTCCCAATATAATTAAAAGTCCTTAAAATTTCAAAATTTTGATTGTAATTTCGATCAAAGATTATCTTGTTTGACCTTGATTTGAGGAGGCGAAGGTAATAAAGTAACATTCAAGAAGGAAATACAAGTAATTAATTATTTACAAATTTTAATTAAGATGTATTTTCCCTTGCTACTGTAAAAAAAAATCATAAAAAATAATTTTGAAATAAACTTGCTCATATTGCAATAGGATACAAATTATTAACTTGTGCATAAAAATTATTGAATTAAAAAAATATGTACCCTGATTTTTAAACCAAAACATTATAATAAAATAATAAAATACTTCCAGTGACTGGAAGTGTTTCTATCATTTTTTGCTGTAAACTGATGGGTAGTCATTTTTTAAATACACTAATTTCTATGTTCAATTTGATAACTTTTATGTAGGCAAGTTAATTTCAAAAAGTATTTTTATGATTTTTTTGGTATTTAGAATGGGACAATACATCTTGAAGGATGAACCACAAAATTCAGGATTGGCAATCAAAATAACGTTATTTGGATGTGTGACTAGCGATACGAATCAAATCATACTAGGAGGACAGATGGAAAATTATGCTAAATTATTATTATAGTGGAAGAGCCCACTATATACTTTCCCCCTCCCACAATAAAAGCAAATCACGGTCACATAGTTAAAAATCACCTCAAATTACATTATTTTGCCAGCCGGCGCTCCATGGTGTTACAGGGCACCCCTGAAAATGTGACAGTTTGCGGGGTTTCAAAGGCCTATTTGATCGATTTAAAAGTCTACCATGTAAAAAATACATATACATTTTTTTTTCTTCCCGACGAATTGTGGTTTTTATACCCGACGGGCGTGGGAGGGAAGTTGTGGGGGGGGGGGGCAGCTCTTTAACCAAAATATAACATATAAATGAACACATTTTTCCTTGATTCTTAAAATGAGGATCGATAAGCTCACTATGTGTGTTACCCTGTATAAACAACTTGATATATGATTCAAATCCAGTTGCTGATCCAGGAGGGATTTTTCCCAGATGGACGATGTACCACCTCACAGGGATGGCGCCAGCGTGGGGGGAGACAGGGCCCCCTGTCGGGAAGAGCTGGTCCCCCCCCCCACACATACCCCGTCAGGGAAAAACTCACATTTCATCGGGGTGGGAAACAAATTATATGTATTTCTACATATTAGTAGATTCTAAAATCCATTAATAAGCCTTTGAAACACCTAAATTGTCAAAATTTAGCCCCCTGGACCACTTCCGAAGCCTTTTGGACGAGTCAAGTGGCCGAGCGTTAAGGCAGGGGCGCCGCTAGCTACCTTAACATCGGCACTGGTTCCAGCCGCTCCTCGCCCATGCTTCGGTTGGTAGAACCAAGTCTTCTCGGATAAGGACTTAAAAAATGGAGGTCCAATGTATACATCTGGCTCGTGTGAACTTTAAAGAACCCATTGCGTCTTTCGGAAGAGTAGGGGGTTACCCTGATATTAAGGTTCATTTCAGCCCCTGTCGTTGTGGAATGATGGGAACATGTATCTACCAAGAAGCGCCTCTTTACGGCTGCTAGGTAGTCACGGACCACGCCCATACGCAATTCAGCACAATGACGCTGCAAGTTATGGGTTATTCTCATACCTTTACCTTTACCCTTTAATCGAACCTCAACCACGCCCACTTTACTTTCGTCGAAGGAAATCTGACCCCTCGCCGGGGACCTCGGTCCCCTCGTCCTGCAAATCCTGGCGCCACCTCGGCCCCAGCCATAATGGGGCTAGAGAAAATGTATGATTATGGTATTACATCTGTCATAGCACTGGAATATGAACCAATATAGGACTTTTATTGTTTTAATTACAAATTCAATTCAAATTTATTCGGCATCACATAAAAAACAATTACAATATACAAAATTCTGTAGAGACAGTTGAAACATCATTAAAAAAGGACAGATGCCAGGATAGCCAATGAAACTTATTTCCAATGGGGTCCGGTACTATAATGTCTACTCCATCATAAATGTATTGTATTTGCATTGCAAGTTATAGATACAATTTAGTGAAATATACACCAAATGAAATCAAAGACGTCCTCATTGTTGACTAGGCCTACTAAGGTCAATTTCACATTTTTAGTTCCCCTCCCCACCCTTAATAGTGAACCCTATTCAGGGGACATCCATATTGAGGTGACAATTTTTTTGTCCTGAAGGTGTCCCCCTATAATAGGGGTTCTACTGTAATTTTATTTATATTGTCAACAGATGGGTGTGTTGTAGCTTGGATATGCACTTTCCTGCATTCTCAAGAATTATGGTGATTAGGAAAGTGATGATGACATAGGCGGTGGAATAGTTGAGTGATGGAGGACTAATGACATCAAAATAAGCCCACCATAAATGTGGCCAGAACAAGCGCAAACTCCCACAAATTAAGTGAAGCAAATGGCCTGGGCATTCGTGACTCTACATTCATCTAAGCACCACAATGGTGAGGTGCGAAAATTTTAAGAGACAGTACCTCTAAATGGCCGAAATTGACACTGTTGCAGTCTTATATATATATAGTACTATGAAAGTCAAAATAAAGCATCAACAAATTCCTCAAGATTTTTTTTTATCACAATATATAAAAAGCCTTGCATGTTTTGATGCAATAAAGTGATATTTTTTATATTGTTATAAAAAAAAAATCTTGAGGAATTTGTTGATGCTCTATATTCGCTCTTCTCACTTATACAGTTCATTTCAAAAATGTTCAGGCACACCGGCCTACGTGGCAGAGGACTAAAAGGTTCTGTAGTCGAGGTGCAGGACAACGGCAAAAAAAAAAAAAAAAAAAAAAAAAACGAAAAAAGAAAACAAACAAACAAAACAAGAACAGACTTGATGTGGTAGAATAATTTGGAGGAGATCAGTGGCCCTTCACTGGAAAGTTTTGATTATATGATGCTTGAAATGCACTTTCCTGCCTTTGACCAATGTGGTAGGGTAGGCCTAATACATTTTTGGATGAAAAAAAATTTTAATTGACCTGGTATTCAAATTTGTTGGGTTTCAATTATAACAATTTTTTTTGTGAGATCAGTTTGAGATATTTTATTTCTTAGGACAAAACTATGCTAAATCTGCCAAAATTATGCCAGCAGATATGCTAGATGCTAAACGAGTCTAAATTATGCTAAAAAGCATAATTATGCTAGGTCTGGTCACTATGTTTAGATAGTCTTATTAATATATTTTAAGTTTTTGTTCCGACGACCTCTCATGGCGTCGGATAACATGGGACCAGGCCTGTCCAACAGCAAAGGGGGACATTCCCCTTCCCTCTGCTGGCGTAACCACTGCTACGGGGTGCTTTCAGGTTTAGAGTTGATTGCAAGATTTGAAATTCAGCAAGTAGACTGTTCGCAGATTCAAAACCCATCGTTTGCTTTTTTATTTTGATTTTCGTGATATGTTGTAAAAAGAATGATACATACTCCAAATATTGAAATGCACGCCATCGTGTTAAGATTCAATATTTCCACATTAATTATGTCATAATCATTCCTGTTGGCGACATAATTAATGTCGAAATATTGAATCCCAACACGAAGGCGTGCATTTCAATATTTGGAGTATTATACTTTCTTATTTGAAATTAATAGTGGACCTTTCGGTATAAGTTGTAAAGTACAGGTAGTTTTTCACACACGATCATACAATTTCAGATTTTTTTGTATAAATTTCTATTTTTTACTGTATTGTTTGAATATTTCATGTCAGTACTTTTCACTGGATCCTTTGCTGTGGAAGTGTCGGTTTGTGTAAAACCTAACGCAGATATTACAGAATATCAGACGACACAGTTGATATGCTATTTTAACAGAAATCTTTCAACATCCTTCAAGCAACCAATGTATAGATGGTCTAAATATATAAATGATAGAAACAAGCACCTAATTGCAACATACTACGATGGATATGGAGCTGTGCCTGAGGCTTACAGAAAAAACATAAGCATTGATGCTAACGGAAACATTGTGATAAACAGGACAACGCGAGCAGATGCTGGAGCATATGAGTGCGAGATACTGATATTTGATGATGAACCATCTAGGGCAAGTGAAATTGTCAATATTACTGTGTTATGTAAGTAAATATTTTTGACAACTTCTTTAAAAAATGTAAACTGGTATTGCAGTACATCGACACCTGTCTCTTATACACATCTAGATGTGTATAAGAGACAGGAAACAAATTATATGTATTTCTACATATTAGTAGATTCTAAAATCCATTAATAAGCCTTTGAAACACCTAAATTGTCAAAA